ATTTCCTCTTCTAATGGACTCTACAGGGAGTGTTAGGAAAACAGGCTGTCTTAATACTGCCTGCCCCTGGAGTCTAAGGCGCTTTATATGTCACTGCGTAAAAATGTTGTTAGAACATCTCTTTAAACTGTAGGGAAGGAAGGTTTTTGTGAGCTTGTTCTGATGTTTTTCAGAAAAGCCATTTCCAATTTAGGCAGCAGCACCCTCCAGGGGCCAAACAGAGAGCGAAAGAGAAGTTCACAATGTTTGTGACCTTCCCCATCTCCTCCCTGCCCTTCTAGGGTTGAATTCCAAAGCATTATGATTATGTACAGAAGAGAATATATCTTTTGTAGGCCCTGAAACCCATTCAAATGGGCTTTTTAAAAGAACACACAATTGTGAATAAAAATTGAATATAAAATAATTTTTAGAATGAGAAATAGAATTACAACAAATTACATTTTTTAATTTCCAGATTTAACTGCAAAGCCAAAAGGACATAACCCAATATCTTCAACTGCTAAAAGAGAGCCATCAATCCAGAATGATGTACATATAAAATTACCCTTCAGGAATAAAGGGAAAATTGAGACATTGTCAGATGAAGGAAAACTAAGAACATTTGTCACCAGTAGACCTATCCTAAAAGGATATTTAAAGGACGTTCTCTAAACAGAAGGAAAGTGATAAAGGAAGGAATCTTAAAACAATGGGGAAGGAGGAAAGAACATTATTAGCAAAACTATGGATAAATACAGCAGAGTTTTCTTTTCCTCTTGAATATTCTAAATTATGTTTGATTGATCAAATGAAAATAACCCTATCTAATGAGGTTCTAAACACACATGGGGAAATATGAAAGAAAATTATGTTATGAATAGGGGAGAATAAGTGGGTGTAAAGGAAAGCAATGTTTTTACATTTCATTCAAATTGGTGAAATGATATTACTAACAGATTTTTATGTGTATATAATGTAACAACTAGAGCAAACATTTTTTAAACTATCCAATAAGACACATCTAAAACACTATAGATAAATTGAAATATAATTCTAAAAAATGTCAGATAACTTGCAGGATGTCAGAAGAAAAAACTCCAGGAACAAAAAACAGTGAGAACCAAAAAATAAAATCAAATAAAATGAAAGATTAAGCCCTAAAATATCAATGCCATTAGATGCAAATTATCTACATACACAAACTAGAGATTAATCTGCATACGCCAATAAAATGACAATTTAGACAAAAAGTATATTTGAAAATATGACTCAACTACAGCTGACTAAAAGAAACTCATTTCAAATATGACACAGGCATCTTGAAAGGAAAAGGATGGGAAAAGATAGATCAGTCAACCATTAATCAAAGGAAAGCAGTAACGGCTATATTATATCAGGTAAACTAGACAGATTTCCGAAAGAAGGAAATTACCAGACAGAGAGAAACATTATATATTGATGAGAAGATAAATTACCAAGAAGACATAACAATGCTAAATGTGTATGCACCAACTAACAGAGCTGAAAAAAAGTGCAACGAAAATTGATAGAAATAAAAAGAAAAATAGACAAATCTAGAGAGAGTTATAGTTGGAGACTTCCATACACCTCTCTCAACAACTGGTGGAGCAATTCACTGGAAAATCAGCAAGGGTATCACCACCAAGCAGGATGCTCTCACAGCCAGATACACAACACTCCCCCCAACCACAGAAGAACACACATTTTTCTCCAAGTGCCCATGGAATATATATCAAGTAAGCCGGTATCTTTGGGGCATAAAATAGGCTTCAACAAATTTAATATAAAATAATTGAAATTATAAACTGCATGTTTTCTGACCACAGTGAAATAAAATTATAAATAAACAAAAAATGACACAGAACATTTCTAAATATTTGGCAACTAAACAGGACACTTAATAATCTATGGGTCACAGAGAATGTCTCAAAGGATCAAACTTACATTAAATTGAATAGAATAAAAACATAATGTCAAAATTTGGGGACACAGCCAAAGCAGTGATGAGAGGGAAATTTTTAGCACTAAGTACAAATATATAAAAGAAAAAAAGGAATAAATGTCTCAAATCAATCATCTAAACTTCCACATGGAGAACCTAGAAAAAAAAAAAAGACAAATTAATCCAAAACAAGCAAAAGGAAGGAAATAATAAAGTTAGAGAAATTTAATGAAATTCAATGAAATTTAAGATAGAAAAACAATAGAGAAAATCAATGAAACAAAGAGCTAGTTCTTTAAAAAAGATCAGTAAAACTGACAAACAAAAAAAAA